ACGCGGCAATGACGAATAGGTTCCACGTCCATCAATCATCAATGGCGTTAAATTGGAAAAACGAGCAATTTCAAAAGAGTTTGGTTGAGTATTGTATTGGTTCACGGTGGAATTTATTCTGCACGTTGCTCCACAGTGGGAATTTAAACTTCAAAGTTTTGCCGACCAAAAGTAAACTCCTTTCCAGCTTTGCCCTCCTTTCTCTCACTCTATTTCTTCCTCACATCATCATTCTTTTCCAACCCCAAAGCACAGAAAAGAGAGAGAGACTGGACAGAGAAAAAAGCTCTCAACAATGGCTGTCCTTCGTTACACCTCTGTGGCCTTCATTCTCCTCCTCCTGCAAGTCGCTCAAGTCGCAAGTAAGCCTCGTAAATCAGTTGTGTATACTACTTACTCATCCTTATCCGGCTGATTTTTCCTAAAAATTCAGTGATTTGCACTATTTGTGTTTGAGCTGTGTTTAGCTCAAGCTCTTAAGAAAGTATGAAGAACTTCACTTCGTCAAGATTTCCACAGTTTTGCCTTCAATTTATGATACTACGTATAGTTCATAATTCCTTGTTGATCAAATCAGAAAATCCGAACACTGTTGAAGACAGAACATTATATTTCACACTCTCTCTCTCTCTCTCTCTCACACACACATAGACACACCCCCACACCATCTGATACAGAGACTATAGCGGGCTAGTGTTGAATTATTCTAATTTGAGCTCAAATTGTTCTCTATTTGCAGAGTCACAGTCATTTATAGGTGTGAATTATGGCCAAGTTGCCGACAACCTTCCACCACCATCGGCAACAGCTAAACTGTTACAGTCCACCTCAATTGAGAAGGTCCGATTGTACGGAGCTGACCCTGCGATCATCAAAGCTCTAGCAAACACCAACATCGGAATCATGATCGGCGTGGCCAACGGTGACATTCCAGCAATGGCATCCGATCCGAACTTTGCCAAAAACTGGATCAATTCGAATGTAATTCCATTCTATCCGGCCAGCAAAATCATTCTCATCAATGTCGGCAACGAGGTCATGAGCTCCGGCGACCAGAATCTGATGACCCAGCTATTGCCAGCGATGCAAAATCTCCAAAATTGCCTCAATTCAGCTTCGTTAGGTGGTAAAATTAAGGTCTCGACTGTTCATTCCATGGCTGTGTTGAAGCAGTCTGACCCACCGTCTACTGGAAGCTTTGATCCAAGTGTTGCTGATCTGCTGAAGGGATTGTTGGGGTTTAATAGTGCAACTGGCTCCCCTTTTACGATCAATCCGTACCCATTCTTTGCTTACCTGAGTGATCCGAGGCCTGAGACTCTGGCGTTTTGCCTGTTTCAACCAAATTCAGGGCGGGTCGACTCGGGCTCCAAGATCAAATACATGAACATGTTCGATGCTCAGGTAAGTAATCTTTTACCCTGGTAATTTCAGTATTTGTATCATCGCCAGTAGACGTTTGTGGGTTTGGTGTTTTTTTTTTTTTATAATTTATAAAAATAGGATTTTCATTCTTGAATGACAAACATATAATGGAATGATAATGAGAACTGGTCGAATATAAACTCAAATAAAAGAACCATCAATGGTTCTCCTAGTTTTACAAGTTACTAAGACATAAGAATCTATATTGAAAATTGTGTAATGAGATTATTTTTAGGCTCACCTAATCCACTGCCAAAGGAAGTGAAAAATGTTGTATGGTGGGATCTGGTTGTACCCTGTACTAACAGTCTGTTCAAAGAACTGCAGCTAGATGCTATCCGATCCGCATTGAACGCAATGGCCTTCAAGGATGTTGAGATTGTGATTGCTGAGACTGGCTGGCCATACAAGGGAGACAGCAATGAGGTTGGCCCAAGTATTGAGAATGCCAAGGCTTATAATGGCAATCTAATTGCGCACCTTAGGTCAATGGTGGGAACTCCTTTGATGCCTGGGAAATCAGTGGACACATATCTCTTTGCATTGTATGATGAGGACTTGAAACCTGGACCAAGTTCCGAGCGATCGTTTGGGCTTTTCAAGCCTGATTTAACAATGACTTATGATGTGGGACTTTCAAAGAGCAGCCAGGTGAGTGTTGACTACACAAACTTGAACACCATTTCTTTGCAATGGTATATTGGATACCGGGCAGAGCCAGAATTTCTTCTTGAGGGGCTAAATAGTAATATAACAAGATATATGGGTCATTCAATAAGATCTTTAATATCAAACTTTTACATGCATAGACTATATTAGAATCAATCTCATACTATACAGTGTAATTATAATTTTAAAATGAATAAAATTAATTGAAACTAGGCTAATAATTAGATGTAAAAATCAAATTAATTCATCAAATAATCAATAATTCCAGTTTAATTTCACCATATAATCACTCGAGTACAATTATATTTTATCATACTGGACAAATGTGGAGAGAGAGAGAACAAATTTTTGAAATACATACTCAAAATGATTTTGAATTTTTTATGTGTAGTGTTTGAATATATTATATTTTGTCCTCTTTACTATAACACTAATTTCACTTTATCACTACACTATTGATTCGAATGTATTGCATCATGAATCATTCAAATAGTTTAAAATTCACAGATGCAAAATGTAACAAATTTAATATTTACTGGTTAATGTGGTCAAATCAATAGTCCAGGGGATTAAATAAGATCAAGATTGTAATTTAAGGTATAAATTATAATTTGAAGAATTTTTTTTTGAGTGGCATATAAAAAGTGATCAAAAAATATAATTCTAGGGGTATAATATATAAATTTTCAAAGTTTAGGGGGGCTATGGCCCCTTTGGGCCATAGCATGGCTCCGCCCCTGATTGCATAGTTGAATTTCTTAGACCTCTTCCCATTTTCTACATACATACCTAGAGATGGACATGTTTGTATACATACGATGTACGAGGATGCACCATTCATTGAACACAATGCTCATAATCATTCAAACATGTCTGTCACTAATTGAGGTTGCCAGTGCATGGACCCAAACGAAATTACTTTCTTCATGATCTATCAATCATGTGATTTATAAGGTGGCCCACGAGGCCACAACTCTACAGCCAAGATAATCAAGAAATCCGAACACTTCCACTCAGATTGCACATAATTCTCATGTGATTGGATGGTGTGAAAGTTATACGATGCATAAAGCATCTGTATATCATATCATTTTGGAAAACAGAACAAGTGAAATGATATTCAAAAGCACCTCCAAATCAAAAGTTCGGATTCTCATGAGAGTTCTTAATGGCTGCCTGTGGCTTTGGTCGGCACCAAAAAGTTGCAGTAACAGTTACTATTTGTGATAGACATGTTGATTTTTCTTCCACTCTCTCCCTCACTTCCCACCCTGGGTAACAGTAAAGATGTTAATGCAGAATTTATGTATTCGTGTATCTTTTCCCTAGTTTTGTTGTTGTAAAGTTAGCATTTTATTGGCCAACATGGATTTTTTTTTTTTCAAGAGTACTCCATCAACACCCAAAACACCAGTGACTCCATCACCAAAGCAAAAAAATGCTCTATGGTGTGTGCCTAAGGCAGGTGTGTCAGATGCCCAATTGCAAACAAATTTAGATTATACTTGCGGACAAGCAGGCATAGATTGTAGTCCAGTTCAACCAGGAGGAGCCTGTTTTGATCCAAACACCGTGGCATCACATGCTGCTTATGCCATGAATCTCCTCTACCAAAAGGCTGGCAGGAATCCCTGGAACTGTGATTTCTCACAAACAGCCATGCTGTCATCCACTAATCCCAGTAAGTCTGCCTGAACTCAAGTAAATCATTCATATTCTGAATAAGCCATGTTGGATTTAGCCAATGAGATCATTGGTTGTTTCTCAACGTTCAAATAGTGCAGTAGATGCCATTTTTCAGTTCTTGGTAATCCCTTTGCAAGGGAGTGAATTACAGTTACATGCTACCTCATCTTCTCTCTGAAATTCTCTTTCATAATCTTTTCTTGAATCCGTGTTACAGGTTACAATGGGTGCACTTACCCTGTTGGGGGTACCTGATAGCAGAGGAGATCTTTTTCCGTAGAAAAACTTAGCAATGGCAGCCAGTATTTCCATTAATTGCCCTTATTTTTAGTAAGTGGATGAAGTGTATAATTCCTGAAAGAGAGACATCGTCAAGGTGTGGGATTATATGGAGAAGGGATTTCAGTGAGTCCCCCACTCCTTAATTTATGTAGAGAGATTATGCTATTACACTGTTTCTGATGCCTGTAATTGTCTATATATCTATATAAAGTCGCAAGTGTTTGTTTGAGCTCAGAGACTTGCTTCTTTTTTTTTTTTTTCCTTTCCCTTTTGTTTTCACTCTAATTCCCCTCATATCTTTTACAAAGAGGTTGGGCTCTGAAGTATGTTAGATATATTTTTCAAATTTAGCAAAATCACTTATTGAAAATTTTAATTTATATCATGTAATTTAAAATAAAATAGAAACAATCAAGAATGAAACAGTAATACATACATATGCAACAATAAATTCAAATTAACCCATTTACAAAGCAACTGCCATGTCCTATGGACAAATTTGGCAGTGTACGACTGTGAAGAGTCTACATAGTTTTATTCAAGTAATCATGTTAAGTAAGAGATTTAAATCAATCCTAGTTAATTTTGTAGCAACCAAATAAAAGATAGATCTGCGTGGTGATTCTTGAAAGAGGGGACCAAGCCGTTATGTTCAACATCTTTGTACTCTCAAACAAAACAGGGGTGTGACAACCAAAATCCAGAGTATGGTATTAAATAAATGCTTACAACCATAACTTTATTATTAAAATTTAGTCCTTAATTTTTAAATTTTTAGTTGTCTCAATTTAATTTGTTGATTATTAATTTTTTACTAATAAAATATTAATTTTGTCTCAATTTAGTTTGTTAAAACAAAGAGACGTTGAGGAACCATTTTTAGAATATTTAACAAAATTGAAGGACTAATAGTAATATTTTTGTTCGTAGCTAACTGTCTGTTGAAATGGGACATTAAACGGTGAGAAACGATGTCGGTTAATGCTTCACAGTAATCGTAAAGCTCCACGGCCTTGGCTACTTTTGAGGCATTGTTCGTTATCACTCAGGAGAACATGAGAGAGAGGGAGAGGAAAACTGAATCGGAGACGAAAGCAAAGCAATGGCGACGACAGAGAGGGAGAGAGATCTAGAGCTTCTACTGCCAGTCGCTAGTATCGTCGAAAATAAATCGTTGCCCCCTCCGGTCGCTGCTTCGTCCCATCGTCACTCTTCTGGCAAAGAGGTCTGATTTCTAATTTATTTTATTTTTTGTGGTCTTGAACTGTTTGGTCTTCAAGAAAAAAAGAATCTAGGAAAGAATAAAGAAATGGATTTAGAAAGAAAACCGTTGTCACAAGCAATTTCTTTCATTTTCAGCTCAATGTGTCCTTATCATGTTAATTAAGAGTGATGTTTTGATTATATTGAGAAGTGGAAAGAGTGCCATCTTTCCCTGATTGCAATTTTTGTTGTAAGTTTAAAGGAATTTGAAAATAAGATGATCTTTATTTATGGCTCTTATTGTTCTGAGCTACCCACTGTTCTAAAGCTGTTGTTCATGTCCTTGCGTAGGCATTGTCTAAAGTCATCCGGACCTGGGCTTCAAAGAAGTTCATATCAGGATGGTAAATACCTCGACTGCCCAATTGTTCTTTCCTTATATTTCTGAACAATTTTTTTTTTCGGTGAGCCATTTTTGTAAAATTCACACATTGCAAAAAAGATACTTTAAGAAAACAATGAAATTTCAATGCCCTCAACCAAGGAAAAACAGGATGATTTAATGGTCGAATGCTGCAAGAACACTGCAAAACAAGCAACAACAAATCCTGAGCATTAATCATGTTGGCAATCACTTTAACGCGCATGAAATCCTTCATAAGAATAGAAAATGTTGGACATATGACATTCCTCCCCCAATTAATGCAAAAAAAATGTCAAGTATAAGCCACTTTCAAGTTAGTTAAATGTTTCGCTGGAACAGAAGTTTTATGGCACTCCATAAGATTCAATATTGATGCAAAAAAAAAAAAGTGAAATAATGCGTGCTACTTTACTTTGTTAACAAGTAAATATTTGCACGCTGTGAATGTCTGAATCATTCAATACTAGACGAAGTTCATATGTGTAAACCATTGATCATATAATTGGTAGTTAGTCATGATTGTTGTAACTTCTTTGTTCATTTTTGGTGTTTGTGTCCTCTTGCTATGAAATTGTTGGAAGTATATATATGTTGTTGTGTCCAGTAGATCTGATGGAATTCTGGCATTAATGTTTGCAGCGTCATTTTGTTTCCAATAGCGGTAACATTCTACATCACTCGCAGTTTCATTCATTTCATGGATGCCTTCTCTCCAATCTACAATCATCTAGGGATGATGGGATCAATGTTTTTGGTAAGTAATATCACTTGATACTTCATTGCGTTTTTCAAGCACAAACTATAAGAGCAGTGATAATCATATACATGCATCGAAGTCTTATCCCATTTTTTTTTTTTTGCTGTCGAAGTCTTATCCCTAGTATTTGGTTTGGCCCTATGAAAACACTAGGAATAAGGCCGAAGGGTGGTTGTGAGATCTGATGGTTAAGATAAGAGCAGTTCCATCCTTGACAATAGAATCTATGGAGAACAGTCTTGCTTGACCTTGACTTTGATCCTTATATTGTCATCTCTGATACAAAATTTTGAAAATTTGGAAGTACACCAGACAAATTGTCGTCTCAAAGCATCTCAACATCTTAAATGAGAGCTTGTTCCCAGGTTTTGCTTTTATGCTTTAGGTAGGATTTTGGAAGGAGAAGTTATCCCGTGAGAACAACTTTAGATATTCATCCCCTTTCTTTAAAACTACATGAAGTCCATCTGTTTATCAAGAAGCTGAATACAATTGGATGTTGTCTCTTCCAATGTAATTTTACTTTTGCAACTCCAATGGAAAGTTGATGTAACTTGAGACCAACTGTTAGAGTTGAGAATAACAAAAGACATACAGTGTATGAGAGTGAAATTTTCGTCTGGACCAAACATCTCATTGTGCTTTTCTTTGCTGTGTAATGATTTCTGGTAAGTCATGCAACTAATTTAGTAGCCTGCAGGTCTTGGATTCATTACTTCTATTACCTTCATCTTCTTAGTTGGCATTTTCATGTCCTCATGGTTGGGAGCCTCTGTTCTTGGCCTTGGGGAATGGTTTATTAAGAAAATGCCACTTGTAAGCTACATATATTCTGCCTCAAAGCAGATAAGTGCAGCAATATTCCCAGGTAAGTTTATATGATTATGTTGTTGTATTTATTCTTACAACCTGGTCATGACAATTTTTAACATTTCATTGCATGTCACAGATCAGAGCTCCAATGCCTTTGAGGAAGTGGCCATTATAAGACAGCCACGTATCGGGGAATATGCATTTGGATTTATCACTTCTACCTTCATTCTTCAGAGGAGTGCGGGTGAAGTGGAACTCAGCTGTGTTTACGTACCCTCTAACCACCTCTAATCTTTTCTTGATTTGTTTTTATTGATACAAAATTGCATTTAGGAATGTAATGCAAACACAAAACATGGGAGCCATTTTTGACAATTATCAACCAGTTATCTCATAAATTTATGGGCATTTATATAATGAAAATATGAGAGAATATTGATATATATAGCTTACAGAAGATTAAAGTTCGTGATCATATAAACAAAAAAAGGAAGATTCAAGGTGGCAAAAGATTATGATGAACTTAGTATATAATATAAAAGAAAACTACCCAAACAACAAGATCCGTTGTCGTCCAGCGGTTAGGATATCTGGCTTTCACCCAGGAGACCCGGGTTCGATTCCCGGCAACGGAATCCAATTTTTGCTTTTTATATACCTAAATTACGATTAATTACAAATGACCCCTCCAAACTTGCGATAGGTTACACATAACCCATCAACTGTGACTTAAAATAATAACATTTTATGCTGCGTTTATTATGCAATAATCTTTTTAAATAAGAATGGAATCTAAATTCTATTCTAATATTTGGCTAAACAATTTTTTGAGGGAATGGAACGAGATTTAACCAAAAAATGCTTAATAAATAAAAACACTTATAAAAAAATAATAAAAACACATAACCTTCACAGATAAAATATTTTTGCATGTACATTGTTCTCAGCCATAAATAAATAATAACTACATATTTTTCGTATCGCATATCATTCTACAAAATATGAGTGAGTCGCAGGTACAGATACTCAAGACTTTATGACTCTCAATCATAGATCTTCCTCTTCACAAATCGTGCATTAATAACACGGTCAAACATAGTACTTCATAGTACATATATGCAGAACGCATATATTATTTATCGGCACAAAAGTGAATACAATAAGATATTGTCAAATGTAGGTTTCATCATAAATGCTAAATAAGGATTGCAAACATTCAAAATTTAAAAAAGAAAAAAATATTAAACCAATGCTCATATACTCTTAGAATTTATTTGCGAATAATTAATTTTATAATTTATGAGATTAGTTATTACTTAGAAAAGGGAATGAAAATATTCCTAAGGAATAATGATTCTATTTCTAGGGTTTAATATTATGTATCAAACACATTGTTAGGTCACAAATGGGTAAAGCTTAACAATGGAAGTACTTTTTAGAAAAACTCAAAAATGTTTTCATAGTACTATTTTATTTTATATCTATGGACTCTTCAATATTTTTCTTGAAAATTCTAATTCTTTTCCCCTTTCTCTAATCTACATCTATCCACTCTCTTGAATACACACATAACACCACACTATTGTTTTTTAGAAACATCAAGAAGAGCACCTAAAAGTAATATGATGGAGGAAAAATATAAAAACATCCAAATTTCATCAATAAGATTATGTATGTGATGGTCATATACATGTAATATCTGTTTGGAGACGATCGTAGAACAACCAAATTTCATCAAATGATACACATATTCACATTTGGCAATCTCCCAATGTGCAATTTGTGATTTATGAATGCGATAAAAATAAACATACAAAAGTTCAAATTCATTAGACTTCTAACGAAATATCTTGATATATATTGACTCAGTATAATCTTTAAATCCAAGATTCTAGAATTATAGAACTTTTTAGAGCACCTTTTGTCTTGTTCAGTACAAAATTAATTAACCTCAAGGGATAATTTGAGCAGTAATAGAGACGAGTTATAAATTCAGACGTTTTAAATTTGGATCTTGACAATTCTGTAAGGGTAGGTCAGGTTACAAAGAATTTATCTCTCGTAAATACTCTAAATCTGGCGTAGATGACCTATTTTTAATCAGATCAAAGAAAAAATTAATCGAAGAACACATAAGATGATTCGGACACTCATAACCATGGAACCAAAATAAAGAAAGTAAAAAACTGTTTAGAGCAATTCACCCAAGTTCAGGGAATCATTCGTAATTAATCATAATTCAGGGAATCCTGTGTAATTATCCCTAAAAATAGAACTCACACCAACCGACCAAAAACCATCGGCCCCGATCCGCATCATACTGGGTTAAAGCCCTCTCATCTCAATTCGTTATTACACGTGACCTCCTCGTATCATCACTTTGCGTCCCACCATTCCACAAGCTTTCCGCTTCTGTGCTTCCCAGGAGTTTCTGTATATCTTTCTTCAATCTTTTCTTTTGGCTGGGTGAGACTCTCTCTCTCTCTCTCTCTCTCGTCAGAGATTTGTGGAGTGATTAACTACTGCTCTGAGTTAATCAATAGCTTCAGGTATTCGCTCGACACCAATATTTTCTTAATTCTCTATCTAATTCTTGAATTTATTGTCATTCAAGTCGCTATTATAATCACGATTCCTCTTTCTTTTTTTTTTGGTATAAAAATTGGATGGTAAGGTATTGCCTCGAGTCTTCTGGTTCAAAATCTTTTCAGTCACTCTCAATTGTTGACTTTTCCACTTTAAATGGTAGTGTGTGTATATATATATATATGTATGTATTCTCAGTTGTTGACTTTTCTCAATTCTTTGCTTCAGATTGATGGAGATCGCATTTTATGTATTTTACAAGCTGAAAGTTATTGGGTCATCTTTTTAAATTTTCGGATAATAATGGTGAAAAGGGAAGAAAAGCTCACCAAAACGGAAATAATTAATTCTATTAAGTTTGGCTGAGTGGAGTTGTATTGATTTTGTCGAATACTAATACAAAGTAGAGCACTTTATCATTGTTTAAAGCTTGGGGGACCAAGATTTGATTGTGTGTTTCATTACTCCTGTTGCAGATGGCTTCAGCTACCCTAATCTGCGACACCGAGCCATGGAAAGCCTTGAAGGTAACAAGCCTGTTGCTTATTAGTATGGTCTGTCGTAGAGAAAGTGTGATATTTGTTTGTGTGCAGACCCATGTTGAGGATATCAAGAAGACTCATTTACGCGAACTAATGGGCGACACTGACCGGTGCAATTCGATGATGGTGTATGATTCTTAATTGATCTCTTTTAACCTAGTCATCTTTTTTTTTTCTTTCCATGGTTTTGGTCATTTGGGTGAAAACATGGAGTGTATTGACCAAGTCTTGGATCATGCATGTTTCATATGGCAATGGTATTATGAATGATTTTGTGTCCTTGGGTACTCTTATCTACAGTGACTATGATGGGATACTGTTGGACTACTCAAGGCAGTGTGCCACTCTTGACACCTTGGAGAAGCTCTTCAAATTGGCAGAGGTTAGTTGGCCCATTCTCCATTTGGCTGGTTCTGGCAATTAAATAATCTGATCATACTTCCCTGTTTGATACTGCAGGCTGCACATCTCAAGCAAAAGATTAACAGCATGTTCAGTGGGGAGCATGTAAGTGGAGGTTTCAGTTTATTAAGTTTATTGATTTGACATCCCTGCTGTCATTGAGAAGCGTGATTCCAGAACCAAACCTAACTGAACCTTGGTTTAGTTATTTAGATCGGCTTCTTATTTTTTTTCTCCATTGTATGATTTTTAGGGTAAATTACAAGCCATTATACAATAATTATAGATTTGACACTTCCTCATTTTGTGTTGATGGTAATCTTTTGCTTCCGCCAACACTTTCATAATGTATCGTATCACTCAACCATATTGGTGCGCCAATTGGTCTTTATTGTGCATTTTCAAACCATCTTGATCTGTTAGTATTACTCTTTTTGCCTCACCAATGTATTCAACTCTACCTATATTTTTATTTTTATTTTTATCAAATATTCATCTTAACATTCTCATTTTAGTTACATTCTAAAAAACATGTTATCTCCTGTTTGACTGTCATTTGATCCTGTAAATGTAATTGAAGTTATAGGTGTGATATAGAAGTTTCCTTTAATTTTCATTGGTATACATGTGTCAAATAATATAGCAGAAACAGTTATCTGCTTAAGCCATCCTACCTTAATCCTATGAACAAGTTAGAAGCATCCTCTCTCAAATTGAGAAGTTGGACACCCTTTTTCTTCAAGGATTGTTTCATATTTAGATCTTCTGTAGCATGTATCATAATTTGGGTATTCAATTCATTAACTTTGGGAAATCATGCATTGATAGAATAAGGGGGTCTAAATTTTTTTCTCTTACCCTATCAATAATACAAAAACGTTACTCACCGAAAAAAAATACAAGAACTTTCCAATGCTAAGGCATTGAAATTATCCTAGGTTTGTCCAATTTTATCCTCAGACTTTGTTGTGGGTGGCACGTTCAGATAAACAGCACAGAGAATAGGTCAGTCCTTCACATAGCACTCCGTGCTTCAAAAGATGCAGTTATATACAGTGATGGGAAGAATGTGGTTCCAGATGTTTGGCACGTTCTGAACAAAATTCGAGATTTCTCTGAGAGGGTCCGCAGTGGTTCTTGGGTAATTTTCCACCATTACTTGTCACTGCATACAGCTATGTCATAACAAAATGTTGAGTAACATATAAACATTGGTAGGTTGGGGCCACAGGAAAAGCATTGAAGGATGTTGTTGCTATTGGTATTGGCGGCAGCTTCTTAGGTCCTCTATTTGTGCATACTGCTCTTCAAACAGGTTGATTTGAATCACTCTGATCTGGCTGCTCTGTGGTACTCTACAATTTTCATTATTGAAATTCTATTAACCAGTGTACTCATGAATTAGTTAATATTGTCTAGCACAAATCCCTTAACGTAGTATTTATGATTTAATATTGGAACTTACAGATCCTGAAGCTATTGAATGTGCCAGAGGACGCCAACTTCGTTTGTAAGTGTGAATCCCTATAAACTTGGTAACCTTTAGTGCCACTAATCAGTGAACTGAGAAGATTCCGTACAAATGAGTTGATTGGATGTCAACTTATCCTTTTAGCCATTTTATTGCATTAGATTCATATTTTTGCAACCTGATATTTGTAAATATATTGAGGAACATGTCTTGATCTTGAGATGCTTTTGATCGGAGAGCTATAAAATGTGGTTGGCTGGGTGCGGCCCAAATAATTTCAAGTTCAGCGACAGCTTCTATGATTGAGCAGTAATTTGGTATGCTGATTATTTTTTTCTGCATTTGTTTACAGTCTTGCAAATGTTGATCCAATTGATGTTGCTAGAAATATCACAGGCTTGAACCCTGAAACTACACTAGGTAATTCAAGTTCTGAAGTTCCTACTAAACTTCATTTATCTATGGTCTGAGCTAATTTTATAGATTCATGTCCTGTTCACTGTGTTTATCTTCTGTTATTTTGCAGTTGTGGTGGTTTCAAAAACTTTTACAACGGCTGAAACTATGCTGAATGCCAGGACACTGAGGGAATGGATCTCATCTGCTTTGGGGTTAGTGTTGTTCAAAGATATTGAACATGATGGTAGTTTCATGTTTTAATTGCTTGAGTGGTATCCCTTACCGCCTCCAAATGGGAAGGTGCAATGTTTAAGTCCCTATTGGAACGTGGATGCACGTGCACAGTCAAAGTTAGATTTTGGAACTAGTAAATCCTTCACTGATGTTGGAGATTAGTTTGAGATTCAGATAGCATATGGATGTGAAGAAAACTCAGTGAGGTGTATTGTCTTTTCTAGTTACTTGGAATAGAATTAGGATTTGCAAATGATTTTTTAATTTATTGCCCTATGCTTGATATTGCGAAGTTTCAGTTCTTATTGGTTGTATTCTAGAAATATTGGCAGACTTGTAACTAAAAAATAAGACTCAGTTAAGTTCCTATTTGGGGAGGTCTGGGAGGGATAGACCGAGCACAACTCTAAACTTTGGTGACCTTGTAACCAATCTTAGAAGTTTATCACATGCATGTGGGTTTGACGCCCCCTCCCCCCTCCCCACCTTCTTTCATCACCACATGAACATAACTGATATTTTATTATTCAGGCCTCAGGCAGTTGCGAAGCATATGGTTGCTGTTAGTACTAACCTTACGGTATGATCATTTTCCTTGTCAGCTACAGCTAGATGATTAAGCATCATAATGTATTTCCTATGAATCTTAGTGATTTCCTTTGGTTTTTATCCTTCACCCTTGTTCTTTTAACATTTTTTTTTTTTTTTTTGTGGGGGGGGGGGGGGGGAGAGACTTAAACCCTTGACTTAAAAAAGGCAAACCCTTCACAAGGCTAGGAGTACCATTGTTCTTTTAACTGCGATGTGCATATTGTTTTTATATCTCTTATACAAAGCCGATCACATATGTTTCCTCTTTACAGGTAATTCAGTTGTTTCCATATCAGTTTCTGGTCAATTTTGTGGCAAAAAACCAGAGTTTTAAAAGTTGACTAGATAAATGATTAATCTACAAGTAGTTTAAGTTTACTGAATTTGCAAACATAATTTCCCTAAATAGTAGGACAAGGCTTTGCTGAGTTGAGCTATTGCAATTTTATTTTTCTGCCTTCAATGCAGCTTGTAGAAAAGTTTGGCATCGACCCAAATAATGCTTTTGCCTTTTGGGACTGGGTGGGAGGCCGATATAGTGGTAAGTATATTCAGTTCAATATTTAGGCTGTCAACTAAAAATGTTCAGTAAGAAGTTATGGCTTTATTATGTCTAATTGGTCTTTGAACTGCTGTTTGCAGTCTGCAGTTCCGTTGGAGTATTTCCTTTATCTCTCCAATATGGGTTTCCCGTTATTGAGAAGTACAGTAACTTATATCTTTTTCCTTTTAAATGAATACTTATTGATATTAGATCTCTAGATTTATTTACCACCTGCAATCTGGAAGTCTTATTTTAAGGACTGTGCTGCTGAAAGTAATATTTCATCTAATAAAAGGATGTTCAGGAAATGAAGTTAGAGATGGTAAGAACTGTAGTTAGTTGCCACTTCATTTGTGGACATGAATCCTTTACTGGTATCTGCAGACTCCGATTCCCTCCCCCCCCCTGTTTTGCTATTTTTGTACATTACCTTATTTGTTGATGATCATGAATCCTTTTTTTTCTCGTTACAGTTTCTTGAATTTAAGGCTTAATGCTTAATATCCAAAAGCATTTTATGTTTTGTTCTTATTTGAAGGTTTCTGAAGGGAGCTTCAAGCATTGATCAACATTTCTATTCGGCACCATTTGAGAAAAACATACCCGTATGTCCAAATGCCATGATCATTTCTCGGCTCTGTTATTTTGAATAACTTTTTTTCTAGATACCCTGGATGTCAGTCAGATATTTGGATGACTTATTTTACTGTTTATTGGCATTGCTGCAGGTGCTCCTGGGTTTGTTGAGCATATGGAATGTTTCGTTTCTTGGTTACCCTGCAAGAGTGAGTAAGATGCTACATTCAATTTCTGCCATTTGACAATTTTCTGATAATGTCTTCTTACTGCACACCCCATAACCTTGAAGCTTCAAATTCTTGCAGGCCATTTTACCTTACTCTCAAGCCCTGGAAAAGTTTGCCCCACATATTCAACAGGTTTGTTTAACATAGCTTTCTGCTTGAATATTATTTTGGAATCTTTATCATAATACCCTTATGGCCTTCCGAATTTAACCCAATTTAGGTTAGCATGGAGAGTAATGGGAAAGGAGTATCGATTGACGGTCTGCCTCTTCCCTTTGAGGCTGGTGAGATTGATTTTGGTGAACCAGGAACAAATGGTCAGCATAGCTTTTACCAATTGATTCACCAGGTAACGCATAAGTACATAGAATATGTTAGTTTAGCCCGAATGTGAAACGCTTTCTTAAATCCTGCTCTTGTTTCTTGCCACTTGTATGTTTTCTAAGACTCTCGGATGCCTGGAATTTTTATTTTTTATTTTTCAAAATGGAACTTTTTAGCTTCCACACACAAAGGAAAAATTGGATGCTTCTTTGGAGTTCAGGATTTTTACTTGTCTAAGGCTAGTAAAAAGGAGTTTGAGAATCTCAATTTGTCTAGAATGACATATAGTGTGATGTTTGACATGCATAGTCTGGAATAACAAGTGGCATCCATCTATCTGGATTTCTCTATGTAAATTCGATGGCTTGACAACCCTGAACAAACTCAGAAGTGAATGATAGTTTGCTGGAATTGATTAATACTGCTATTAGACTATGTTTAGATTGAATTCATATATTAAAAATGTTAAAAGTTGTATCTTCATGACCCATTCTCTGGTACCTTTCAGGGCCGTGTTATACCTTGTGACTTTATTGGTGTTGTAAAGAGTCAGCAACCTGTGTACTTGAAAGGTTTTTTTATATTTCTTTTTCTGTTTACTTCTCTTTCTTCTTCCTTTCTTTATTTTCTTGGTGTTTTTCCCGTCCCCTTATGTTATCCCATTTCTTTTGCAGGTGAAGTGGTGAGTAACCACGATGAGCTAATGTCTAACTTTTTTGCACAGCCAGATGCCCTTGCTTATGGGAAGGTAAAAGTTGTATGCCTTTTTCATGGATTTATCTTTTTCTCCTTTGATATCTAGTTACATCTGACTGGAAAAAGCCGGTAAAAGGAAAAAAGAAGAAGAAGAAAAGGAAGAGGAGAAACTGAAGTGGTGTCATCATCATGATTTTGCATGTTTTTTATGAATTCTTGTATTTCGAGGTCTGCTGTTCAGATATACTTTGGGTATCAAAACAAGTGTACTCAGATTTAACAAAACTATAGACCTACCAGTTGACATATGTCGCAGAGCCCAAAAAATACAGGAACCCTGAAATTTTTATGACCTTTTGTTTTTTCAAAATCATAAAAATATAACTTCTGCATCTGCTATATGATCAGTTTTGTATTTGAGGTGTCATAATACCTAATGAAACTTTGTGCTTCCAGAACTCTGAGCAGTTGCTAACTGAAAATGTTCCCCAGCATCTCATTTCTCACAAGGTGATTATGTCTCTGTCTAAGTTTTATCTTCTTCTGCTTACAATTGGATGTTCTAGCTTACTAGCGCATTATCTTTCACAGACCTTCTCTGGCAATCGACCTTCTTTCAGCCTTCTCCTGCCATCATTGGATGCATATAGCATTGGACAGGTTTGATGGTTCATAAACTTTTCCTTAGTTCTTCCAAGATGTTAAGTGGTAATTCATATAACCGTTGAGAAGTTTTAAGACATTTAAATGTGTCTCAACTGAAGTTTTAACAACTAGAAGCGTGTAGGTTTGAAAGTGCTTAAATATATGCTCAAGTCCATGCAAGCGATAATTCAAGATGACCAACAACAAAAAAAAAAAAAAAAATTGCAATTCGAAAGGTAATGGTACCAATGGTGAGGTATCATCCAAATTTTCTATTATTTGTGGAGCATCTGTAGACTGGCTTCTGGTTCTGGAACTAGTGTCTGATTCGATTAGGATATCATGGAATGCACTGGAAAATATGGAACTACCTTTGAATGTTGAATGGTTCTAGTGGTAGAACTATATTGCTGATTCATAAATCATCCATGAGTCATCGTCTTAAAGCCTAGAAAAGGTCATGACTTTGTTGTTTGAGGACACTTGGTTTCAAATGGAGCCTTTAAGAAGATTCATCCATCATTAATATGTTAGATTCGTTTATGCAGCCAAACTCCTCACCCTTGTTACTCTGTAGTTTTATTTGTCTCTGGTAAAGGAAATGATTTTTTAACTCTTAATGTGTAAGAGTTCACCGGTGAGTAACATATTTCATAAAAACATGAGATGGGGGGAGATGAAAGCATGGTTCAAAGTCACGGTATTGGTCATTGACTCGGAAGGCAGTGAGACACATCGGTTGCGGTATCGCGGCATGGTATAAGCTGATACGTTCAAAATGTTAGGTAGAAGGTCCAAATTTTTTTGAAAAATTCTAAAAAATATAAAGAACACAATCCATATATCATCTGTCCAAAATAAATCTCATACACATTAAACATAGTTCAAGTAAATTATAAGTGTGTGACCGAAGATATTTATCATCATTGTTCAATTTTTTGGGAAATTAAAATATTCGTTAAAAAAATATATATATATATATATATATATAAAAAAAATAGATTAGTCAATATATTAATAAAATTTACTTGGTGAATGCAAGATTAGTTACTGCATTCAATATTAAAGCAGTAGAATTAGACTATTAATAAAATAAAAATACAAACATTTTTTATTAGTATAAAAGTAAAACAATTTATCATTTAAATATAGGAAGACTTCCAAAATAACAAAATAGAACCCAAGGCACAAGAGATCCTTTTTAGTCTTTTAGACTCTGACAATTGGTCTAAAAATATGTGTGTGTGTGTGTGTGTGTGGGTGAGAGAGAGAGAACTCCTGAGATTGCTCGAGATCGTCGTCTAAGTCTGTAGGGAAGGCATCGTACTTGGTGCTTGATCCCCTTGTATTGCGTAGAAGAAAAAGAGCCGTAGCAAGAGTTAATAGTTTCGTTGTCATGGTAGGGTTTGGACTTTGGATTGCTTCTTCCTCTTCTATTTTTATTCTTCCTTTATTGCCTTTTAATAGTTAGTTTTTCATATGGGTTTGCTATTCAATTGTAACTCGACCGACTTGGTGACGAGTTGGTCCGAGTTGGATCCAAGTTGCAACGATTTTGCCGAGTTGTCTCCGATTCATAACTGATTTGCGTGAGAATCGTGGATTTGTTGTATCGTGTATCGATATCGTTTCGGTATGGGCCGATGCGGATACGACTCAGCTGAATCAACTCGGACTCGACCGATACTTTGAACCCTTGATGAAAGAGGGCTTATGCAACCAGGAGAAATTATCAAAGGTGGTAGAATAATTTTGATTCCTGTATGTTATGTGAGAGTATTAGCTTCTCTATTTGTCAAAACAAATGCTCTATTTGACAATGTCGTATGTGCTTTGTTTGGATTTTAGAGGGTTGGGTACAAGTAGAAGATGGAAAATACTTTGGCATTTTGCATTTTTTCCACTTATATGGGTGTTATGGTTGGAAATGAATGTAAGAATTTTTAGAGGAGGAGGTTGAATCTTTATAGTTTCGAATGCATTTTGTATCTTCTTTTTGGGCTTTCGTTACAAAGGAGTTTGAGAACATTCCTCTTTTTTGCATTACTTCGGATAGGATAACAACTATTGGATTGTAATATTCATGTTCTAGAGTACGCCTTTTTTTGGTTGGACAACTTGTGCACCTTTGTTTTGTTTTTGTAATCCTTTTCCTTTAATTAACAATTAAATTATTGTTTCTTATCCAAAAAAAAAAACAGATGCTCTACCTTTCTAAATATAGCGTGAATAATGCTACATGTGAATTTTGGTTTACATGTATCAAAGTTCATCTTGATACTAAGTCAACAATACTCACAATATTGATTAGTTCGATCAGTGATTTAATGGGTTTTTTTTCCGGTTTTCATTCGATTGCTTCAAATACCACCCTCATTTCCAAAATCTTATCTTCCCTTTTCACCTCCTTGAAAAAGTGGATTTTGGGGGGACAGAGAAAGAAACAAAATGTAGATTATCCGACTCTGATGGTTGATGTCAAGAACATTTCCTCGGTGGTCATCTGATGCTTTATTGTGGCCTGGGTGTCCCACGCCAAACTTATCTCGTAGATATTTGTCATCAAATTTCAACTTGTACAATAGAGTCAAAGCAGGTCCCACTATCTTATTGAAATTTCACTCACTGCACATTAGTGTATTCTTTTGCCTTTGGCCCAAAATTCTCTCTAGATAAGTGATCAACGTATTTAC